ACCCTGTGTGTGTGTGGGGGGGGTTTCCCTGGTGTGAGGCTCTGGGCCGGCGCCGCGGGCTCCTCCGTGTGCTGCCTGCGGCCACCACCTCGGCAGGGTCCGGTGGCCCTGGTCATGGCTGCGTGGCCTCCAGCCCTCCCCTGGAGACGGGCCCCGCAGGGCTCCCCGAGGAGGAAAACGCTGGCTGGGAGGGGGGACCTGTCACCTGAGTTCCCACCCCTCCCCAAACCCCACCCCCCGCTACAGGCTCCACCCCCCTCAAATCCCCAGGATTCCCCCAACCTGGAGTTGGCAACCCTATCTCCTTCCCAGCCAACCACCAACCTACCCTTCTCTTCTCCTCTGGCTTTAGCTTTCCACCCCCCACCCCCAGCTGCAGCCTCTAAAGAAATGTACTCTGTCTCCCTGGTGGGGACCCAAAGAGGAGGGAAGCGACCTCAGCATGGTGTAATGATACAGCGTCCACCCTGCAAAGGAGCTGTTTTTTCCAGGGGAACTGATCTCTGCCATCTGGAGAGCAGTTTAAATTCTGAGTGGTCTCCAGCTCTCAGCTGGAGATTGGCAGCAGTGGTTCCCCAGGAGGAAAAGTACAGTCTTTCTCTCCAGTGGAGACCAAATGTCCGATCCCCACAACTTGCAATTAATACACGTTTGTAGCAAAGTAGTATTTTATTGAAGCCATGATGGAACAGGAACACGTTCACTGTTTAGAATAACTGGGGAAGGTCAGAGCAGGGGATAGTAAAGCAAATTCAAACCAACATTAACCAATGGACTTGGTTCCCGCTCGCACGGGTTGATTCTCAGATTCGCGCCCCTAGTCTGAGAAGCAACGGTTTCCTAAAAGATAACAATTAATTCTTCTCACACTCTGGCTCATTATTGACTAAGCAAAGCCGTCTCTTCTCCGCACCTGTGACCATGCAGATAAGCACGTTTCAAAGCTATACTAGCGTTCATAGAAAGGAATGCATGAAACAAGTGGATGTGCGAATCATAACACCAGTAAGCATGCGCAGTTGGGAATCTACAGGAAACCATTGGGGGGGGGGTAGCGACCTCATGCTACACAGTTCTCATGCTACACAGAGTTCATTGGCAGCTTGCTGACACCAAAGCAGCTTACATCATTCCCCCTTTGATCTGCACAACAACTCTGTAAGGTAGGTTACGCAGAAAGTCTGTGACTGGTCTGAGATCACCCACTCAGCTTCCACAGCAAGAACCTGGGTCTGGCAGACCCTGCTCTGAAGCGCTAACTTCATTAGGGTAGCTGATCGCCGGGTACCACAACTGAACTCCAGACAGCAGATTTCTCTCCCGCTGGAGAAAATAACTGCTTTGGAGGGTGGACTCTATAGCATTCTGTTCAGCTGAGGCCTCTCCCCTCCCCAAACTCTGGCTTCCGTAGACTCCACCACAAAATATCCAGGAATTTCCCAACCTGGAGCTGGCAACCCTAGTCAGGACTGGCCCCAATGAGTTCCCCACAAAGGCCAAAGGAGGCCTGGAAAGGGCCTCCTGCCTTTGGCTTTTTACTGACAGAACCAAGCTTGGTTGCCTAGCAGCAGCCACTGAGGGAAAAGTTAGCCCCACAGCAGGAGGAGAAGAGAATGGTTAGACAGCCGGTGGCCCACCTCAGTAGCCAGCCTGCCAGCAGAGGAGCCAAGTAGAAGTGTCTTCTTCAGGAGAGACAGCCATTTTGGCAGTTTATTCTGTTGGGGAAGAGGTTCCAGGCTGGCAGTGGGTGGGGGAGAGGATTGGACCCAACACCCAGCCAATGGCACGTGAGTACTCTTGAGTGGCGGTTGACTGCCCATGGCTGATGGAGCGCACAGCACAGCCAATGAGAGAGCCGGGAAGTGCCAATATGTAGGGCAATTGTATATATAGGATGCTTCTTACACTGTAGTCTGTCTTGGAACTGTGTATTAGAAGAAGCTGGGAAAGAACCAATGGGAGAGCTTTCTCTGGCTTTGTCTCCCGGCCCGGGAGCAAGTTGGTATATACAGTAACACAGACTTTTGTGTTGTTTTTCCTTACCTGGGACAAGGATGTAGACGAGAAGATACTAGAGGAGGGGCTCTCATAGCTTCATGGTTCTCCACGAGGGCTGAGGCTGGGGCACCTTTGATGATCCACATTTCTGCGCTCCTTGTGTTATCCTGAAAGAGTCTTGAGTAGAGCTTTGATTTAGTAGTAAGGATTTTATCTGATTCAGGATTTCTCTACTGAGAGAGAAAGCTTGACCGAGCCCCCTGTGGCTGGGATGCCAGTGAAAAACCGGCATGAATCCCTCAAAACAACCCAGGAGCGGAGCTTCTTCAAATGAGCTTTTGTTGTGTTCAGCCTGTCAGGACGAGGGCACATTTTTCACCTTCCTCCATCCCGGAAACAGTTTAGTTAAGGACTCGCGCAAATCTTATAGCTCACGATTGCATGTTTGTTTGTAGGCTCAGCAGAGTTGTGAAGACTGCCATCATGTGTTTGGAGAATATTACTGCAGCATCTGCCACCTGTTCGACACAGACAAGAAGCAGTACCACTGTGAGAAGTGTGGGATTTGTAGGTACAGGAATAGACTGAGGGGGGGGGGGGAATTGACACCTTTGCTTGCTGTTTATCCTTTTGTAGTAACTCTTGTGATGAAAACTTTGTTGGGGAATTGGGGCCTGGACTGAGCCTCAGTCTTCTGCTAAACCTATGATACTTTAATTTCTACAGTAAATTAGCGTGTATAGTTGAATCTTTGGTTCGGTTTCCCAGGAGGTTTCAGGCGCTGTGGTCTTCTGGGTACCAATAACTGTACATTACTTTTGCCTTAGAGGATGTTTATACATTCCAGGAGAATCAAAATGGGCAAAGGGTATCTGAATCTTGACTCTCCTTGACTTTCTGAGAGCTTCCTGACCACAGAGATAGAGAGAAGGGGAGGGATTTGGGTCGGTACATTGGGCCAGTTTTAGTCAGTTCTAGTTGGGCCTGCACAGGGGTCATTTCCTGCAGGAGCAGAGCTCCGGCAGTAAAGAGCCCAGGGGGCGGGCACATGCAACAAGCCCCACCCCCTGCTCCCAGCAGCCCTCAGTCAGAGCAAGAAGCAGCCAGGTAAGTTGCAGAGCTCCCCCTGGCCCCCCGGTTAAAAACAATCCAGTGGCACCTTTAAGACCAAGTTTTATTCAGGTACAAGCTCTCCCTCTTCTGCGAGGACAGATCTGCATGTTCCCCCACCCCCAAAACAGCTAGCAATCCAAAACAGTCCAGTGGAGCCTGAGTGATGGGTGTTGCCTTCTGACACACTTCCGGTGATGTCAGGGGTGTGGCATATGCAAATAAGTTGTGCTAATGAGTTATGCTAATGAGCTCCTGCACCTCTTTTCCTACGAAATGACCCCTGGGCCTGCATCTCATCCATGGTAGTCCTACATGCTAGGTACGTCAGTAGGTATGTTAACAGCTATAGGTCCAAGAAAGATATATACCTCTGGTTTACCAAGGGTCGGTCCTTGATGTCAGTAGCCAGAATATACTCCTTATTTGTCCGAGTGTGCACTGTGGATTTCTTTATTTGCAACCGTCTGTGTTACTTGATATCTACTTGGAAAATAATAAACCGAACTTAAAGGAAGCTACAGTCTGGGACTCTCAGTCTCTCTGGCAGGGAAGTGCCCAGCCAACCTACCCACCAAATTTGGAGCTTGGGTCTGGGAGCTTTCCATTGAGAAGCTCCCCAATAAACTTCAAGAAGTATAAATCCTATTTGTATTTCTACAACCTGTCCCATTCTTTACTTTAGGTACTCTGGTCCTCAGCTGTACTAGAATAGGGAGTCCGTCGTGTCTTCCAACTGACTAGGCGCTGGGAATGAGATAGGGTGGGAAATATGATTTCTGTTGTGTTGTATTACAATAGTGAATGCCAGAATAAGAGAAGAGTTGGTTTTTATACGCCAATTTCCTCTACCCTAAGGAGTCTCAAAGCGGCTTACAATTGCCTTCCTTTCCTCTCCCCAATAAACAAATCTTGCTGCAACAAGAGTGTTGTGAGAGTGATTGAGTCCAGGGCTTGACACCATGTTGATCAAAAGTCACTGTGTTCCGCACAAGGCAAGAACTATCACAACCAAAGTCCAGGGCTGCTTGACCGGTGTGTATCCATTGCAAATCCACACCCTGGCCCCAGTAAATGCTATCTAGAGGTGCTCTGCGTCTGAGCACGGAAAGTGTTGGCCATTGACAGACCTGTTCTCCATGGATTTGCCTAATGTCACGGCCATCGTTACACCCTCTCTGCCAGTGAATTCTACAAGTCAATGTCATGTCGCAGGAACAGCTTCCTTTAGTGCGTTGTCTGTCTATAGCTCATCAACCTCCTTGTATGTTCTTGAATTCTAATATTCTGGGAGAAGGTTTTCTCATATCAATTTCTCCTCTCCCCACCCATAAGCTCTGTCTTGTCCCCCTTTGTCTTTAAACTTAAAAGAACAGAGTCCTTTGCTTTGCCTTTGATCATTTTTGTTGTTGTCCCCCCTCCCCTCCAGATCTGTGAGACCCCTTTTCAGAGGAGGCAGCCAGATCTTCACGCAGCACTCTAAAGGTAGCCACCTCCTAGATCTAAAGAGGAGAATTATGAGACTGGCTGTTTTGTTGTCACCCCCTCCTTCCTAATAATCTCCACCATATCGTTGCTTTTTTTGCTGCTGTTGCACACCATGTCAGCATCTTCATTGAGCCGTCCACTGTGACTTCGTTCTTGAGTAGACACTGCCCCTTGGGTCCCCATCGATGTCTTTGTAGGGCTCCCCCAAAGTAAATCACTTTGCACTTCCATTGAACTTCCTTCGCACCCTTGTTTGGCCATTCCTTGGCTTCCCAGAGCCTCATAGTGAGTTGTGGTACGTTCACAGTAGCGGCCAACTGTGCCAGCAAGGGAATCACGGTCAAGGATCCCTGGCCTGAAAGACATCCAGCTGTCCTCAGCCAGAGCCACGGCCTTTTTGACCCTTGCCCTGACCGGGTGGAACTCTCTGCCAAATGGCATATCCATGCTTTGCGGGACCTGATGCCGCTCTGCAGGGCCTGTAAGGCCGAAACGTTCCACCAGGCCTATGGCTGAGGACAGCGATGGGCCCTTTTCTTCCCTTCCCCACGGGGTAGCAGTATAGCTTGATTATTCTGTAGCATCATCCGTGTTTTAAATTGCTTTTGTTTCTAACTGTTTTACTGACTCACGAATGTGTTCTTCTGTTGTCGTTCACCATCCTGAGCCTTGTGTGTACATGGGAGGGTGGTCCAAAAGTCTAATTTATAAATAACCAAGGAGCTTCCGAAGACTTGGCAAGCTCCTGTTGCATTTGTGCTCTGGGGAGACAGCTCACGCTCTGTGCTCACAGGCCCAGTCAGGGGGCAGCCGCCTCCGTGCTTCTCCCCAGAGTATCACCAGCTGCCAAGATCTTTGTCTTCTCCTTTGCTCTTGAGAAGCTGACAAACCTGCCTGCCTGCCCCCCTGCCCAGCGTCGCCTGCCATCATTGGCCTCCATAAGCTTAATCCGCTTCCATCAGATGTCCCACCACAGTTGAGAGAATGAAGGACAGGGGGGGTGAACGGTGGTGTTGACCTGGCCACGGCTGACCTCTGCCTCTACAAGAGCTCAGGGCAGCATGCCGGGTTCTGCACGTAGGCACACAACACTTGTGAAGTAGGTTTGGTTAAGATACCGCGAGTGACGCCAGTGGCACGAGCTTGGGAGGTGTAATGTGGACCTGCTTGCCAGTGGTGTGAGTATGGAAGGCAGTATTCCTTGGATTTGTGTCTGTGGAAGAAGCAGCGAGAGCCAGGCTGTGCCACCGGAGGTGGAGAGAACGCTGAGCCCGCGGGGTGCTGGCCGGAAGCTGGCTCATACCCAGCCAGTGGGAGCCCTGCCCTGGGTGGCCATGCCTGTCCTTTTATGCCCGCTGGGCTTGAGTTGGTCAGACATCTGCACATGGGATGCTCACCTGGCCCTCCACAGTTGGCTGAGCCTCAGTTTCCCTTTCGAAGGGCATGAGAGACGCTACAGAGCCAAGGAGGGGAAGAGGAAAGACGGCAATTTCCCAGACTCTGAGTCAAGCCTTTCCTTTCTTTCTTTGTTTATCCTCCTCCTCCTCCTCCTCCTCCTCCACCCTGGCCTTGTAGTCTATGTGCTAGAGAATCTGGGTGGGGTTTTGTTTTGGTATTTTGTGTGTGTGTGTGTGCACCTGGAAGTCATGTCGACCTCTGGTGACTGACCCCTACTGGGGGCCTGGAGGATATTCAGAGAGGTGCCTGCCCTTGTCCTCCAGACGTGGTATTCCAAGGAGGTCTCCCATCCAAACATGAAACACAGTCAACCCTGCTTAGCTTCCAAGATCTGACGAGATCGGGCTTGCCTGGGCTATCTGGGTCAGGGTGTATGCTGGAGACTCTTGACCCATGATGGGGTCCCAGCCCTCAGTCTGAGAACCATCCAGCGTACCCTCCCCCTCCCCTAGCGGGTTACCTTTGCTGCATGAGGTCATCGGAGGAATGGATCCCTCCACAGAGGAGCCTTTTCCTCAGTCTGCTGCTCTCCTCTCCCGACACCCTCACCCCCCGTGGAAGCAGGGGAATGATCTGGGTGGAAACGTGTGTGTCTCCTGCAAGTCTCACTCCAGGCCTGTCTACCTCTCTGGGCTTTTCCAGATCAGCACTCCGAGGTGCTGCTTCTGGCGTGTCAGGCACTGAATGAGTTGGGGATTGGGGCTCTTGAAGGGTCAGCAGCGGCTGCCGTTTCATGGGGGGCATCTTGAGAGGCTGTTTGGGGGTCTGTGTGAAGGGAGGAAACTCAGGGCCTTTTCGGCGGTGGCATCATGATTGTTCCCCAGAGGCTTACTTGGCGTTGTCTTTAGTGTCATCCCATTGCCAGGTGAAGATATTTTTCTTTCATTTCTTTAGGGTTTGGTTTATTTTCTTGTAACGGTTTTGCCTGTAATTGGTACATTGAGGACTGATTTTATTCATTTGGTATTTGGATTATTGTTAGATTTATAGGGGGTGTGGTGATGACAAAGACAATGGCGGTCGCTTACTCTACGGGCTCTGCTCCTCTTCCCCTAATTTACCCGATGGCAGAGACTAAATGAGGCTACAGATAGCCCAGGTATGGACAGAAAAAACGGCAATCACACCAACAACCAGAGGGCGACAAGAAAGACACCTCAAAACTTTTTCTCCCCGAGAGATAATCACCCAGAGCAAAGCCTTCTTCACACCAAAACCTTAAAGATGGCTGCCAACCAGGTCTCTCAGCAATTTGCGGATATGACTCTTAATAAACAAGATCTTACCTATCTCTTAGAACAAATGGAAAGGAGACTTACCAGTAATTTACAACCCTCTCTTCAACTGGTACGGGAACAATTAACCGATATCCAAGCTTCCCTGGCATAAACTGCAAAGAAGGGGGAGACAGCCCTTAATGTGGGCATGATTTTAAAGCACGATGTCCGGGACTTGCAAACCAGAGAGGCTGCGTACAGAGATCGTCTCATCGCTCTTGAAGCTCAAATGAGAAAC